ATGTAATTTATTAATACTTACTTGAGTGTCCCACTTCTTTTGCATCAGATCACAGATGCAAGTTCTAATGCTAGCTTTGTAATCAGAGTATGGAATAAGAAGTGGTGTCACAGATTTGTTGAGTGCTGCCTTCGCAGCAAGATCGGCAAAAGTATTCCCAGAAATACCAACGTGGCTGGGTAACCAACAGAGGACGATGTCGCATTGGCCAGTGGCAAGATCATTATATAATTCTATAATTTCTAATAAAAGTGGATGTTTACAAGAAAGATTTTTAATAGCCTGAAGGCAAGAGAGAGAGTCGGAAAAGATGATATATTGTTTATATTTAGGATGTTTATGAATATATTTAAGAGCTGTAGGTATTGCGCTTGCTTCTGCTGTGAAAATTGAACTGTCATTGGGTAATCTGGAAGATATTGTTTTGGACCCAATGACAGTGGCACAAGCCACTGCGCCACCATCCTTGGACCCATCTGTAAATAAGGATTTATATGTATTATATTTACTTTTTAATTGATTACATTTTTGTTTATATTGTAATTCATTTGTTTCCGATTTTTTAAATGTTGTAAGTGTTAAGTCAACTTCTGGTCTAACTAACTGCCAAGGAGGAGAAGAAAGAAGACGGGAAGGAGCTATATTTTCCAGCTCAATGCCGGCAGCAGCAATAAATGGCTTAATTCTGAGCCCAAGAGGCGGAACAAGAGAAGGTTTTTTGTTATACAAATCCTCATAAAGAGGATTAAAGACACAGTGAAATGCAGGATTAGACTCATTAGAATACAATTTTGTAATATATTGGGAAGATAATTTTATACGGCGTTGGTTAAGAGAAGGTTCATCTGCCTCGACGTAAAGACTGTCAACAGGAGAAGTTCTGAAGGACCAAAGACAAAGTCTCAGACCTTGATGGTGGACTGAATCTATGAGTTTGAGGTTGCTTGTACAGGCTCCACCATATACGATGGAGCCATAATCAAGCTTCGAGCGGACAAGTGATCTGTAAAGGTGTAGGAGCATAGCTTGATCCCCACCCCACCTTGAATTAGACACGACTTTCAATAAATCGAGTGCCTTCAGGCATTTAGTTTTTAGAGATTTGATGTGCGGAAGAAAAGTTAAATGGGAGTCGAAAATGAGACCTAAGAACTGGGCCTCTTTTACAACCTTGATCGGAATGCCATTTAAAAACAGTTCTGGGACTTTATGTGGTTTATATTTACGGCAGAAATGTATGCAATTAGCTTTTGATTTAGAAAATTTAAAGCCGTTTTCGAGACACCATTTATGTATTTTATTTAAACACAACTGTAGTTGCCGTTCTATAGTATGCATATTTGTACCGCGACAAGAAATGTTAAAATCATCCACAAAAAGTGATCCATCAATTGAACCGTTTAAAACCTTGGATAAGCTGTTGATCTTAATGCTAAATAAAGTGACAGACAAAATACTTCCTTGGGGGACACCCTGATCCTGATTATAATGGTCAGACAGGGTTGAACCCACTCGGACTTGAAATTGCCTGTCTTTTAAAAACTGTGATATAAAAAGAGGCAAACGGCCTCTCAAACCAAAATCATGTAAATCCTTCAAAATGCCATCTTCCAGGTTGTATCATAAGCTTTCTCAAGATCAAAGAAAATTGATACAGCATGTTGTTTATTTACTATAGCATTTTTAACAAAGGATTCTAAACGTACCAAATGATCAATGGTACTACGATTTTTCCTGAAACCACATTGAATATTTGTTATAAGGTTATTGGTTTCAAAATACCAAGTTAATCTATTATTCACCATACGTTCCATGGTTTTACAAACACAGCTAGTTAGAGAGATCGGCCTGTACGACGGTTTTGCAAACACCATCTGTATGATCCTTGCCAGGTTTTGGTATTGGGACTACAATGGCATTACGCCATGAAGGAGGAAATTCTCAAGACGTCCATACTTGGTCAAATATATCTAAAAGTGTCATCAGACATGGTTCAGGTAAGTGTTTCAGTAGCTGGTAATGTATATTGTCATCACCCGCTGCAGTGTCATGAGCTTGCTCAAGAGCAGTATGTAGCTCATGTAATGAAAACACTTCATTATAATCTTCACCGTTATGTGATTCGAAATTAAGTTTTTTCTTTTCTTGTTGCTTCTGATATCTCTGAAACTCAGGGACATAATTTGCCGATGATGAATTTTTGGCAAGTTTCCCCAATTTTATCTGCAATTTTAGATTTGTCAGTTATTAAATTATCGCCATCTTTAAGATGGTGAACAGCAGATTTTGAACCTTTGCCTTTAATTCTGTGAACCATGTTCCATACTCTGGACATTGGCGTACGTGAATTAATTTTGGAGACATAATTTCTCCAAGATTGTCGTTTGTTTTGTTTAAAGGTACGACGCGCCTTTGCATTGAGTATTTTAAATTTATTTAAGTTATGGACAGTTGGTTGATGGCGGAAATAACGCTCGGCCTTTTTCCCCGCTTTTCTGTCTTGTCTACAATCTGTATTAAACCATGGTTTTCGTACATGTGGAGTCTTGGGTATAGGACTTGGGTGGAGGACTTGGGTATACACTCATCAGCTATTTCATTTAAAACGTCAGCAAAAGTTTGAATGGGATCAGTTATATCACTGAAACATTCAGGTCGCAGTTTCGATTTACATATAGTTTGATATGAAGACCAGTTAGCCTTCGAAAAGTTCCATCTTGTAGACGATGGGGAATCAGATGGAGTTATTTCTGAAAGGATAGGTGGGAAGTGGTCACTTCCACAAAGGTCATTATGAACAGACCAATCAAATTCATTCAGGAGGTTAGAATCTGCAAGAGACATCTCCCGTGAGGACTGAGTAATTTTCAGATCTAGAGGTCCAAAAGAGTTTTGTCGACGAACCTCTGGGGTGAAGGGGTGGTAGAGGGTTATTTCAAATTTACTTTCTTTTCTTTCCTTCTTTTAAATGAACATTTGCAGGTTGTCTCGCAGAAGCTTCAGATTGTTTTTCAGACAGATTCTCTGCTTGGCTTCAAGACGTAGATTCCATGCAGGTAGCAAAAGTAATATAAGTCCCCATGGTTCCTAGTATGGTGATCTACCTTCAGTTGCTGGTGATCTATAGCCCGTTCGTTGATTGTACTGTTCTCTCTCGTGATATATTTTTATGATAGTGTACTAGTTTTAAATTAAGAGCTGTGATATTCTAGTAGTTTTACTGCCCTTCGATGACAGGTTGTTACGTTATACATATATTGATTTGAATATTGATATCAACTGTTCTCGTCACGATATGGCTGCAATATTGCCGATGTACGTTAAATTTTAACTCAATCACTCACGTAGATTCCATGCAGGTAGCAAAAGTAATGTAAGTCCCCATGGTTCCTAGTATAGTGATCTACCAGTGTTATATATTGTATGTCTTCTTTAATTAAAATCTTTTAGTTTTACGTGCTAGTTTTATGTTTATATATGTGATACTCTAGCAGTTTTACTGTCCATCGTCGACAGGTTTTACTCTCCAAAATGTTTTCATTTTTTTATTGTATAAATTGTTTTCGTCACGCTGTGGATGAGATATTGCCGATGTGACGTTAAATATTAACTCACTTACTCACTCACTCAAGACGTAGATTGAATGACTTTAGATGTAAGTGGAGTCACTGGAGATGTAGGTGGAGTAGCTTACACAATAGTGTGTGATTTTTTTGGACGTGACCAGCGGTATCAAATGGTCAAATGGTATCAAAGTATGAAAGTGGTCAACCACCAGAAAACCGTCCTCCACCGACACAGGCGCAACCAACGGCAAAGCGATTGCCCCTTAGGACCAGTAATGGGCTGCTAAGGACCTGTCCTGGGGGAATAACTATTAGCGTTAACCATCAATCACCATTACAATGTAGGTGGTTGCTCTTCACGAGTACCTAATACAAAAAAGTGATTATTGCAATAAATAGAGTCATGGTGATATTCATCTCTGCAACAATGGCCAAGTTTCCAAAATAAGCTCAGTATCCTGAGTCAGAATGATATCCACACAGTGGCGGTCCTCTTATAAGTATAGTATAAAACATGACCCGCGGGCATTATTAAGAAGTAAGAATGTTTTCCCTCGAGCAATGCCCTAGGGCATCCTTATTTCTTAATAATGCCCGAGGGTTCATGTATTATCGTACTTACAAACCGACCGAAGATATACTTAAGATATAATTTCAATATTTGGCATTTACTGTTGAAATCAACTGGGACGAGACTGGCAGCCGACACCTTGCCTTGCACGCGCAATGCACGTGCTCTGCACGCGCTGCCCGTCTTGTGAGGAACACTCGGTTCCTGCTGACAAACAATCATTTTCTTCACAACGATCCTTCGTAGCCTTGTGGATAAAAGCGCCAAGTTAGTAAGGGAAGGGTTGCAGGTTCGAAACCAGGTATCGGCTCTATATGTTGGAAGTTTTCAATAATGTGATATTTTACGATCGCATTCAGTGATAGCAAGACAAAGTCATATCAGTCTTCAAAACAAGTAATAATTCAAAGTCAAGGGCTATTCCTCAGAAAAAACATGGGATGCAGGCAATTCTGTAGAAAAATCCCAGGAATTCATGGAGAATGTCCGCGGATCTGCCTGTAGAGGTTTACCCTGTAAGAACCTGGCGAGACTATAGAGTTGAGTTTTATAACCTGAGATAGAATGTGAGAATGAAAGTAAAGAGTTAACTAACATTGTTCATCTAAGAATATATGCGTCACTTAACTGGCCTATGTGTTGCAGTGCGTTGTCAAACTCTGACTAAATATAACACAAGTCTAAATATAGAACATATCACCGCCCTCCGCTGAATGCCGCCAGGTACATTGTATTGCAATTGTTACATTGTTACATAATGAACAACACTGCCACATAGTAGTAGTAGCAGTAGACGTAGTAGTAGTGGTGGTATATTAAAAATAGTTATGTAATGTTGACGTTATGACAAAATATATTTTCAGTTGATGCCACCACCAACGTGGCTGTAGGCAAGCCCACCTACTTCAGCACTAATTTCCCAATATCGTATTCCCAACCGTCTCACGTTGTTGATGGAAACACTGACAGCGATATGTTCCGGGGAAGCTGTTTTGCGACAAATGTGGATGACCTAAGTCCCTGGTGGATGGTTGACTTACTGAGCACCTACACCATCGGTAACATCACTATCTACAACAGAGGCGATTGCTGTTGTAAGTTTGTTTCGGGTAAAGTTTGATAAAAAAAACATGGTATAATGAACGACATTATATTGGTGAAAAGCACCCCAACGCCATATTCCTCTGTAGGGTGTTAAATCCCATATTTACCCATAAGTACTGAGTCAAAAAAGAAACTTCACAAAATGTAATTTGAAAAATAATGAATAATGTTTCGCTGATGATACATCTATGTATCCGAAATGGGATCCCTATCTTTCGACTCTAGAAAAACGTTAGCAACACCCACTCAAACCCATCCATTCGTCGTGCAAATGACGTTAGTGCCAAATCAGGTTTTGCACGTGCAGTCGATCTTCGCACCGAAGTTTTCTTCATATGCACGTGTTTGCATTGGCCTCAAGAATTGAAAAAACACTTTTAAACCACAGTTCTAACGGTACTTGAAATGCCACGATTGTCAAATGTGCAACGCGAACGTGCCGTTGGCATGTTGCAAGCGGGAAGATCAGTTATTGACGTCGCAAGAGCAATGGGATGCAGCAGTCGTACTGTGTATGACTTGCGAGGTCGTCTACAACAAACTGGCACCACTTCTGATCGCCCAAGGTCGGGTCGTCCACGTGTGACGTCACGAGCAGAAGACCGTCAAATCGTCCTACGTCACCTACGTGACAGATTTCTGCCGGCTACACGAACCAGGGCTGAGATGTTTAGAGGTCGACTGTCCTCACAGACCGTTTGAAATCGGTTGCGGGCTGCCAATCTCCATTCTCAACGTCCATATCGTGGGCCAATATTGACGCCGTTTCATCAACGTCAACGTCTGCTGTGGGCCCAACGTCACCTCCGATGGACCAAGAGAGACTGGAATCGAGTCGTCTTTAGCGATGAATCCAGGTTTACCCTCAGATTCGCGGACGGCAGGCATAGAGTCTGGAGACGACGTCGTGAACGGTATGCCCAATGTTTTGTACAGGAAGTCGACAGATTCGGGGGCGGAAGTTGCATGGTGTGGGGTGCTTTCTGTGGGAACAACCGTTCCCGACTTCTGGTCATCCGTGGAAACCTCACAGCTGCTGCTTACCGCAACCAGGTGCTCACCCCTGAACTCGTTCCTTTCATGGCGGCTCATGGCCCAGGTCTACAGTTCCAGCATGATAATGCTCGGCCGCATACCGCGATGTTGACACAAAATTTTCTTCAAAAACGCTGGAATCAACGTCATGGACTGGCCATCGAGGTCCCCTGACCTTAATCCAATAGAGCACGTTTGGGATGCACTTGGGAGAAGGATTCGTGGTCTTAGGAACCAACCTCAGAATTTGCAGGAACTTGGCGCTGCCTTGCAAGAGCAATGGCGCAGAATCCCCAACCACGTGTTCACAAGCATCAGGCAGTCGATGAGGAGAGACGGTGTTTGGCAGTGGTGAATGCGCGGGGCGGCCATACACGATATTGAACTGAGAAATTTCGCATTTTATTCTTGTGACTTGACATTCTGTATACCCATGTTTTGGAACGGCGGTGTAGCCTAATGGAACTGATTATGGCACTGTCAGTGTATCGAGTACATCACACAGATGTCAGCAATGAAATAATAACGATTTAACCATCTTACGATCTCTTGTTCTTTATAGTGCCCTGAAGAAAGAATGTTAAGAAGTTTCTTTTTTGACTCAGTATATGATTCTTTCGGTGTGTTGTCATCAGAGAGGCATATGCACGTGTTTGCATTGGCCTCAAGAATTGAAAAACACTTTTAAACCACAGTTCTAACGGTACTTGAAATGCCACGATTGTCAAATGTGCAACGCGAACGTGCCGTTGGCATGTTGCAAGCGGGAAGATCAGTTATTGACGTCGCAAGAGCAATGGGATGCAGCAGTCGTACTGTGTATGACTTGCGAGGTCGTCTACAACAAACTGGCACCACTTCTGATCGCCCAAGGTCGGGTCGTCCACGTGTGACGTCACGAGCAGAAGACCGTCAAATCGTCCTACGTCACCTACGTGATTTCTGCCGGCTACACGAACCAGGGCTGAGATGTTTAGAGGTCGACTGTCCTCACAGACCGTTTGAAATCGGTTGCGGGCTGCCAATCTCCATTCTCAACGTCCATATCGTGGGCCAATATTGACGCCGTTTCATCAACGTCAACGTCTGCTGTGGGCCCAACGTCACCTCCGATGGACCAAGAGAGACTGGAATCGAGTCGTCTTTAGCGATGAATCCAGGTTTACCCTCAGATTCGCGGACGGCAGGCATAGAGTCTGGAGACGACGTCGTGAACGGTATGCCCAATGTTTTGTACAGGAAGTCGACAGATTCGGGGGCGGAAGTTGCATGGTGTGGGGTGCTTTCTGTGGGAACAACCGTTCCCGACTTCTGGTCATCCGTGGAAACCTCACAGCTGCTGCTTACCGCAACCAGGTGCTCACCCCTGAACTCGTTCCTTTCATGGCGGCTCATGGCCCAGGTCTACAGTTCCAGCATGCTAATGCTCGGCCGCATACCGCGATGTTGACACAAAATTTTCTTCAAAACGCTGGAATCAACGTCATGGACTGGCCATCGAGGTCCCCTGACCTTAATCCAATAGAGCACGTTTGGGATGCACTTGGGAGAAGGATTCGTGGTCTTAGGAACCAACCTCAGAATTTGCAGGAACTTGGCGCTGCCTTGCAAGAGCAATGGCGCAGAATCCCCAACCACGTGTTCACAAGCATCAGGCAGTCGATGAGGAGACGGTGTTTGGCAGTGGTGAATGCGCGGGGCGGCCATACACGATATTGAACTGAGAAATTTCGCATTTTTATTCTTGTGACTTGACATTCTGTATACCCATGTTTTGGAACGGCGGTGTAGCCTAATGGAACTGATTATGGCACTGTCAGTGTATCGAGTACATCACACAGATGTCAGCAATGAAATAATAACGATTTAACCATCTTACGATCTCTTGTTCTTTTATAGTGCCCTGAAGAAAGAATGTGAAGTTTCTTTTTCGACTCAGTATATGATTCTTTCGGTGTGTGTCATCAGAGAGGGGATGTAGTCAACGTCACCATCCTCACAGCATTATCCACCATGGTGTCATATAACGGAGTGTTGAAATCAGAATAAACCAACTCACTAGCTTGTTATCTGTTTATGACACTGCTCTTTTGGGGTCTGGGTCATAAACCCCAGCAGGGTGATCTACAGTTGTTGGCGACCTATATCCCATTTTTACATTGTATTGTTAAAGATGGAAATAGTGTTTATGGTAATATGCTAGTTTTAAGTGTAACTCTGTGATACAATAGTTAATTTACTGTTCTTTGCAGACAGGTAAGTATATAAGTTTATTTTTATTCATTTATACATTTACAAATGTACAACTTTCATAGTCACGATATGGCTGCAATACTGCCGATTTGACTTTCAATTTTAACTCACTCACTGCGTCACAATCTGACTGTGAATAATCAGATAATATTTGAACTTATTGTTTCAGCGGAACGCCTCCATGACGTCACAGTGGAGGTGTTCTCTGTTAACCCAGCACGATGTCCAAATGCAACTGCAGCTGTATGTAAAGAACTCCCTGGACAACTGGCTATGGTCAGCAACATAACCTGTGATCAGGAAGTTGTTGGCAGGTTCGTCAGAATCCGGAAAGGATCTTCAACTCGGGAGGACGTCTTGAACATTTGTGAAATTGAGATAACTGGAGTTCCCCATCTTCCAGGTAGACATTGTCTCGTGTTATTGCACAGTAGACATATATAATCTCACCCGAGTGTCCTTTATGCAAATATATCACCACGAGTTGATAAAGTTACAAATATCAACGAGTGATGATTTATTTGATATCAGAAGAACCGAGGGTGAGATTCTATTTATCATACAAAAATCACTCTTCATTAATTTTCGAAAACAAATGTTCATCTCTGAACACGGTACTGCCATTAGACTTGCAGTGCAGCGATGTCGTTGAATTAAACTTGATGACGTCATACCATTGTGTTGTCATAGTATTGTCAGCCATGTAATTGATGACGTCATGGCATTGTACAAAATCTACTGTTAAAACGATATCTCCTGATCTCACACAAGCTCTAGTGGAACACAGTTTTGGATGATAAACGGCGTTCTGCACATAGTTCAGAGATGATGATGATGATGATGATGCTTTGACGGCTGGCAACTATATCTCATTATTAATTCCTTGATCCCAGTAAGGTGGTCAAATTTTGGTTGTTACTGGTTTATAGCCTGGTTTTAATTGGTAAGAATGAATCTATTGAATAGCTACTGTCTTCTTATTGTAATTATGGTCAGGTTGGTTTTATTTTACTATTGTAATATACCCACCTATTTTACTGTCCTTTGTCGACAGATATTTTAAAATGATTATCTTGGTTTCATTGCTGTAATATTGCCGACGCGATGTAAAATTTTAACTCACTCACTCATTATTTATTATAATGATAGAGTTTATTCCACTCCAAGTGATGCTGTATCAAATGATAATATATATTCAAAGAAATGACATTGGAAAGACAGCATGTCATATTTTGGTTGACTCCATAAACAATCTGCTCGTATTGTATCCCTTTATAATTAATGAGTAAAATTTTCAAATGTGATAGTGGTACAATCCTGTGCGTTTGGTCAAAGTCGACGATTGCGCCTATACAATGAAAGGGAGTTTTGTTGAAACTTTTACTTACGCTAATTAGTAGCGTTCTGATAGTTTTATTCAAATTGTCAAAGCAGTCAGATGAGTTTGGGCGACCTGAAATTATTTAGCGAATTATTTTTAAATGTTCAGCTTAATACCATGTATGTTCACAACATGATATCATGCAAAGGTGCATGGTTATAAGGACCTGCTTATAAATTAAACTTGGTTAGTTATCAAACTAGTCTTAGTTAAAAGAAACACACTTAAGTTTGATATCGATTCTTCTGTAATAATTTAACTGAGGTAAAATGATACATATAGCTAACGTACTATAGATTCATAGATGCGATACCAATATCCCTCCGGCCGATCTCTTGATACAGAATTACGTGCGGAAATTGAGTATGATTTTCTTTATTTGTTGACATTTCTAGGGTGTGGTAAGAGAGCCATACCTGTAACTAATGGACGCAGGTTGCAACCACTCACTGGACCGGAAGTTGTGTCTGTGGATTCCCGCTTGGATTGCGGGAGAGCCTGCATCTTTCATGCTGCCTGTTTTGGCTGGAACTTCCAGAGTCAAGACTTCACCTGTGAACTGATAAACTCAACTGCAAGTGACGGAACGTTTATGGATGACCCTCTGTGGACCTATTCCGCGTTTGATATTTGTGTGTCAGGGTAAATAAGGGTGTTCTTTGAGAGGCATATTAGAAGTTGTGTAGATGAAGGGAAACCAAGTTCTATGGACAGTCAACTTCTTTATTGCAGTGAGTGCGACGTTTCGGTGTAGGTACTAACACCGTTATCAAGCAAGTGTATCACTTGAGTGCGACGTTTTGGTGATGCACTTGCTTGAAAACGGTGTTAGTACTTACACCGAAACGTCGCACTCATTGCAGTAAAGAAGTTGACTATCCATAGAACTTGGTTGGTTTTCCCTAAAGAAGGGTGTGTTATATTCGCGTATGCCATTGATCATGGTATGAGGGAACGCCATGTAAGGCGCGCAATCCGCTGTGCAGAAGTTGTTGGCGATATATAGCCTATTTGTATATTGTGTTGTCCTCTATAGTAAAACTGTTTTAGACTTAATTGCTAGTTTTACATTTATATCTGTGATATTCTAGTTGTTTTACTGTCCTTTGTTGACATGATTTTATAATCTATCATTACTTATTGTTAATCTATAACTTGTTTTAGTCACGATATGGCTGAAATATTGCCAAAGTGACTTTAAATTTTAACTCATTCCGCTGTGCAGTATTGTGTTCTTTCGGCGTGAATGAAACCAACGATCATGTATTAGAATGACAGGAGGCCCAAGGTATGATTCCAGTTCTGTCAGTACCATATCGTTGGTTTCACCAAAGTAGTAAACGTCTGAGACCTGCATCATGCGGTTTCCTGCAACGGATTGTGAGTTATGTTTTAGTCAGCTTTGAATAGTAATTCAGTTGAGTGAGGGAGGGAGTTTTAGGTTTACGCCGTACTCAGCAATATTCCAGCTACACATGTATATGGCGGCGCTCTGTAAATAATAGAGTCTGGACCAGACAATCCAGTGATCAATAGCATGAGCATCGATCTTCGCAATTGGGAACCGATGACATGTATCAACCAAGCCAGCGAGCCTGACCACCCGATCCCGTTAGTCGCCTCTTACGACAAGCATGGGTTACTGAAGGTTCATTCTAACCCGGCCCTCACGGGTCTAATTCAGTTGAAGTTCTTGAAACAACCTAGTTATTCTGTATACGACGTTTCTGAATTAAATCTCTCTCCATTATCAGGTGAAAACTGTCAGTGCACAGGGTGAATATATACTACTCAAAACAAGTTAAGGGTCAAAACTTTTAATGGCCATAACTACAAATATAAATAACAGTAAAATGTAGCGATCATATAACAACTCGAGCCAACATTTCATGATAACCATAACAGGAGACAAAAACAGCAGGAATGTCAGTGATTGCTGATCAATAAGGTCAAAGTGACCTACTGTCAGAAGTGAAAATTCAAACGCCAACATTGGACTAATAACGGATGTAACCACCTCGAGCAGTAAGACAAGCAGTACACCTCTGTCTCATTCTGTTCACCAGACGTTGGAAGAAGGCTTGGGGTATTGTCTGCCATTCTGCAATGAGATGCCGGGCAAGTTCTGAACGGTTGTTTGGAGGGGCGTGGTTGTTACGAAGCCGACGTCCTTGCTCGTCCCAAGCATGTCCCATAGGGGCTAAATCTGCTGAATATGCCGGGCATTCCATGTGCTGAACATTGTTCTGTCTAAGGAAGTCCGTCACAACACGGGCACGGTGTGCTCGGGCATTGCCACCTTCGAATATGGATACGACGCCGGTACGTTGTAAACATTGCAAAACAAGGGGTCTGATAATCTCCCGAAGATAGCTATTTCCGGTCAGGGTACCATTAATGACATAGAGAGGTGTCCTTTGATGAAAGGAAAACGCACCCCAAACCATGACACCCCCGCCTCCAAATGGCAAACGCTGGTTGACGTTAACGTCAGCAAACCTCCCTCTTAGACGCCGATGCACACGAGTTCTACCATCATTGAACTGTAGAATAAACCTAGACTCGTCGGAGAAAAGAACTAATGCCCACTGAGGCACGCTGCCAACGAACATGGCATCTACACCAGTCATGTCTTGCCGTCATGTGTCGCTGAAGGAGCGGTGGTCGTACTGCTGGTCACCGTGCCCGAAGATTGTTCCTCGTCAGTCGGTTCCTGACAGTCTGATCAGACACCAGGGTACTTGTGGCATTTCTCAGTTGGTCACGGAATTGTCTGGCCACGCAAGAGCTCTTCCTCTGTCTGTCATGCTCAGTTGACGTCTTGCCATTGTTGAATTTCATGTGACAATAACAATGCGACAATTACAAGTTTTATAGGGAAAATAAGCGTGCACAGCACTAATCCCACGAAAAACACGTGCACATGTTGTTCATGATGAAACATCGCACAGTGGTGGCGCTTCTGTGAAGCACTCGATGTTTCAATTTGTTCATTTTTTAACACCTTACCACATGATGACTATTGGCACCACGGTTATCTGCAGCCTTTATCCAGGTTCTGCAATGGTTTTGAATAAACTACCATACACGGAATGTAAAATTTTATTTATACATAATGCAACCAGCCTCATCAATAACATTACATGATGACATCGCATGACCCTTAACTTGTTTTGAGTAGTAATATATAGATATAGCACGTGGGTTGATTATCGGGTCAATATATGAGGTGATTAATTTTGTGAACGACCTCTCAAGGGGTTGGTTATCAGATAACCAACCTTCCCCAGAGTGCGGTTACCATATAACCCCCCTAGCGCGGTTATCTGACCAACTCTCGGTGCGATACTGGGAACAAGGCTCGGCTTCGCCCCATCTTCTTCCCGGGTATCGCGCCTCGAGAAGAACTTTTCCCTTTGCAGATCGGGTTTGACAACCCTATGCCTCTACCTCAATGTTTTTGTTGGAAACATCTTCAATAAATAAATACAGAACCATTCAATTTTTTAATTTTTTTTTACAATATCTGCACATTGCAGTTAAAATATTGGAACCGGCGGGAGCTACTTCCCAATATTTTATTCTTCTCTGGGTCACTTGGATTATCTGAAATATGAAATAGTTATTTAGACAGGATCGCTGATAGGTATTCTTGTAATGGATGATTTGAGTTTCGCCAATGATTAATTTTATGATACATTCTTTTAGCGGGAAAATGACGTTTACCAACAAATTACATGCATCAGTCTGAATCATTTTTTACTTAAAGGTCTCAAATAAGAATAGACTTGGGATTAGACAAACTAATTAGCAATGGAATGAGAGGTCGGTGGGATGTGACCTATAAGCAGTGCATTTGCACCTGACCAATAATGTTTAATTCGATTATAAAGGGAATGTTCAAAACTTTCCCCTAAAGTTATGTTTGTACTGGGAGAAAGAAAACATACCAGAGGTTTCCTCAGAAGATGCTTCTTGTGGAGTTGAAGTCTTGTGTTCCACTCTGCATGGTACTTGCTGAGGTTTTGGTTTCTTACTGGTAAGAATGCTGCTGACCATCTTCATTTGTTCATCATGTACTCTCTTGTACGGCCGCACACCTGCAACAGTTGTATGATACGTAATGGTACTATTAAAGAAAATCAGATAAATTACCAAATGCATGCTGCCGTGCTGGCAACTCAATTTCCTAACCCAATTTAAGCATATTGGCGTTAATCAGAATAGGGCAGTGTTACGAGGTACACATCTAAATAAAACACACATCAATACATTAAAAGCAATTCAATTAGATAACTTCATTATCTGTGATTTTAACTTTTGCTTACCCATATCCCAATTTTCGAAATAGGTACCGCGAAGGAGATGGTAATGAGTATCGCTTTTCTGACAGCTTCAGTTGAGTACAGTGAGTGAGTATGGTTTTACGCCGCTTTTAGCAACATTCCAGCAAAATCACGGCGAGGGACACCAAAAATGGGATTCACACATTGTACCCATGTACAATCTAACACGGCCCTTCGGCGTGACGGACGATCGCTTTAATCCCCAGCCTACCTCACCGCCCCGATTACAGTACAGATACAAGACCGCCTCCGTGTTGTAGTGGTTAGAGCGTCCGCCCGGAGAGCGGAAGGTCGCGGGTTCGATCCCCGACCGCGTCTTACCAAAAGACGTTAAAATATGGTACTTGTTGGTCTCTGCCTGGCGCTCGGCATTAATGGGTACAACAAGGACTGGTCGGCTCGTAGTCAGTATAATGTGTCTGAGTGGGATATTCATGCTTCACTGCGGTATGGTATCTCAGTGGGCTAGCACTATAAAACCAGCTTCAGTCTGGGCTAGTACAAGCAGCCGCACATACACATACACACGCATGCACGTCGTCATATGAGCGAAATATTCTCAAGCACGACGTTAACCCAATTTCACCTCACCTCACCTCACAGATACAAATGCTATGTAGGGCATGTTACTTACCGGATACTGAGCGATGACCAGTTTGCTTCATAACCGCCTTAATCCACGGTTACAGAACGCGTCCGCGTCTTCTAACCTACTTAGAGCATGCACACAAATATTGCTTTTAATAAAATAAAAGAATAATATGTATTTGGTACGCGTCTGTAATTTAATGAATGGACTATAGTTTTTTTAAGCGCAAGCAAGGTTGTGGTACGGTCGACTTATGTCATGAACGGCACGTGCTAATGTGTGTTATATTCTGTATTCTACCTAAAGGCACGTACAGTCGCTATTGTCGTTAAATCAACGCTAATATGTCTTTACCAGTTATCGAAGGTCGTCTTGAGAAAGCGGCCCGATGCTCTTTGATTAATCAGCTTCAGGGGTACATAGGATTTCATTCCGGGCCCTCATCAAGGATGGTTAATGAACCGAGGACGTAAAGCACGTGCTTTTCGGAAATCTCACCTTTACAAACACATGGTCTCCTCGAACATGTCTCTTCATTACGCAGCAGGTATGAGTGGGGCCGACAGCGACGATACGTTGATTCCAGCTTCACAGTGTGAGTTTTTGACAATAAGTGAAAACTCTGAAGATGATGAAATTCTATGCACAGCACTGGAAACTGCGGAGGAAAGGGATCTTCTTCAGCAACATTACAGCGATATTAGTGACGTGGAGGAAGAAGTCCACGTGAGTGAGAATGTGTTTGGCGGCGGTAGTGGGAAGCATAGTGATCATGAAAGATTTTCTGTACCGTTGTTGGATTCTGAAATTGCAGGATTATGCGAGACAAGTGTGCC